TTATTAAATATTTATTTTTAACAATTTAAAAAAAATAATTAATTATTACCTTTAAATCGCTGCACTAAATAAAGCCATTGTAGTAATCATATTTCTATAACGAGGAAGTCCTTTAAAAGCAACTAACTAAAATTTTTTTTTGGTACAAACTAACTTCTTTTTTTTTTTGGTACAAACTAACTAAATTATTGATAATAAGGTGTTTTTTCATTTATATAAAATGAATAATGATAATTGGGATGATAAAGTGAAACGAAAATAGAAGATGAACATGAGGTGGTAGTCATCTCAGAAAAGTATTACTTTAAAAAGAATCTCACATGACAGACAATCAATAAGTTATGTCATTAATCTCGTAAAATTATCCCATATATTTGTCCTCCTTATCATCCCCCATACATAATACAAGATTCTGAATTCTATTTTTCTTCTCTATCTCTCACAAAGGTTTTAATCAATTAATTTGTTTTATTAAAAGGAAAATTTCCATGATCAATTGACACAACTGCCCTTAACTGTCACTAACTAACCTTATATTAGTGTACAATTATCTACAATTGCATAATTACACCACTGCTCTCTCTTTTGCGCTGTCATTTAGCACTTTATGTAATTTCGTACAATTGATTCATGTGATATGCTTATTTATTCTAAAGGTGGAGACTAATAATAGGGGAGCATATGTTATGTAAGCTAATCACATAGAAAATGTCAAAAGAAAAGTACAAAAAAAAAAAAAGGGAAAATCGTTGTTATTAGCACGCCTCCTATCCTACGCTAATCGTAGCTTTTGATTAAACTTTATTTAGTTTAGATTGTAATTTTTGATTTGTTGGTCGAACATGCGAATGACCTATCAAGTTATTTACTTTTTTGAAACTGAAGTTAAATGCTTGCAGTGGGTATTAGGGGATAGGGATTCCTTTGAAGAAAACAGTGAGTATTTCAAAAAAGGATTATCGAGTTATTTACTTGCCCCAAAAAATTTAGGGTAAGAAATCAATTTCTAACGTGGTCGAATTAAAAATATCTACTCAAAGTTAAAATGAAGACATTCAATGAGGGATATTATAGCACTAAATTATAAGAATTTAATTTATTAATAAATGAA